GACATTAATCTATTATTTACGTCGCGTAAATCAAAGAATGGGAGGGGAAATTCCCTCGAATTCCCGGCCGTTAATTCTCTGACCGAGGTCGAACTCGTTTCGTACCGTGTCGGGATGTTGGACGTGCAACCAGCATGTTTCTTCCACCGTTCACTTTACATTGCACCGGCAACGAGGAGCTTTGCCATAAAACAGCGAAAATAAAATTCTTCCGACTGACGTTGAGTTCGTGGGTCACTCACGATTTCCTCTCCTATTTATCCAGTAACGTGAGAATTTTCTATAGTCTACACCCTTCAGAAAAAATCCTTTGCACACGCGTAGATTCTCTATTTTTATCTGCAATTTTCCGTCGCAAATTCGAGAGTGTCATTCCTCTCCTATCTATCCAGTAACGTGAGAATTTTCTATAGTCTACACCCTTCAGAAATCATCCTTTGCACGCGTGTCTCTCTGTCTTTATCTGCAATTTTCCATCGCAGATCCGAGAGTGTCAACGCGGTTTGCACACGTGTAAAGGATTCTCCGGTTTAATCTGCAATTTTCGAGAGCGTCAACACGGTCGAATCTAAAATATGGCGTTTAACGTGGTTTCAGGTGTCCAAGGTGCGACTGTCCGAGGAATCAGGCGCGCCATAATGGCGGAGGTGGCGACGAAGAAGACGATCAACGTAGTAAGTAGCAAGAAAACCGAGGTGTGCAGTGTTCAGTCTAACAATGGTTTGATCGAGTTGGATAACATAACCGCGAGTAACAAGCAACTAATCTCGTTGTGCGACACCAACGACGACGAGGATGACCTAATCTTGACTAACAACACGCGTAACGAGCTGGACACCGACGACAAGAGCCTTCAGGAATTGATCGAGAGCGAGCTTGCCCTTAGAATCTGCTCGAGCACCGAGGAGGAAACCGGCGTCGAGGTTGAGGAGCAGCAAGAGACGGCGAACGAGCCGGAAACAGTGAAAAGGATCGTTTTAGACAGACAACCAGACACTCTAGACGTGAACTCCGAATTTATAGCCGCGGAAACGAAACATTCCGCGATAATAGAGAAACCTTATAGCTATCAAAATGGTCACATGTCGCCGGAAACGAAAATCACAGAGTCTCCTTGCGAGGAGAACGTGGTGAAGCCGGACCCAGTCGCGGTGGGCTTCAGGGAAGAAGAGGAGGAGCAAGTGTTCGACGAGCAACCGGAAGTTGGCAGTACGATAGTAATCGAGGAAACAACGACGAACGAGATCGATCAGTTAACACGCGACACATCGGACGATGGGAAATTATTCGCGGAGAACGAGGAAAACGAGGAACCATGTCCGAGTTATCCTGCTCTTCGTCCAGCTGAGACCACCGAAAGGCTACCAGATGTGACGAACGTGAGCCAAGAATCCTTCGAATCTCCGTACGAGCCTAAGGAAGAACAGGTAACCACCACGCCTGCGAGCTACGTCGACAAATATCAGGAAGAGAAAGAGGTTCGGGACATGGTTTCGGAGACTATAGAAACGGACGTAGCTCTGCTGGACTCTGAACAGACAGACGAAACTAATCTCCGGAAGAAAGAAGTCGTGGACACGTGGACAGATCAGTCCGCGTTCACAGAAGGCCAACAGACCGGTCAGTTCTCCGACAATTTCGATCAAACGTTGTGTCAAGAGGAGGTCGAAGAACCTATCACCTTGGAAGAATTCACCAAAGAAACTTCGATGGAGAACGGTAAACCTGACGACGTGTTCGTACCGCTGATCGAGATCGAAAGTGCGAAGGAGCAGGAAGCGGACGAGGTGAAAGAGCTTTCTTCGGTGGACGAGGACAAATCTCCTAGTATAGCGGAGGAGAAAATTCTCGAGGATCTCGCGGAGTGTAAGACTGCCAGCGACGAACCGGAAGACGTGATTCTGAGCCAATCGGAGAGCTTCACGGAGGCTGCGAGCACTCGGGAATTCTTGGACACCGAGCGTAGTGTGTTGAGCGAAGATATCGCGGAGCATTATCCGCAGGAAGATTCTCAAGTTCGAGAAATCGGTGGTCAGACAAAGAAGGAGGAGGAGGACGAGGAGGAGGGTCAGATGAAAGTGGAGGAGGCGAACGATAACATAGACGAGCAGAACACGATAACAGAGTCGTCGAGCGAGCTATCGGTGTCCGAGCCCACGTTCATCGAGAAAACGGAGGTGGTTGTGTCCGAGAGCAGCGCGAAGATAATGTCGGAGACGCATTGCACCGAGGCCGGAACAGACGCTGAACCAGTCGACGAGGAGCACAGCAACGAGTGCGAATCACCGGCTCGTGCACCACTCGCCACGCCCGACGACGAGACCAGCGACGTTTCTAACGCGTGTGACGTAAGTTTTGCTTCGTTTGCGACTAATCCGCAGGAATCTCGAACCAGGGATTTAATACGATTTAATAAGGTATGAGATGCTTGAGGATTCGTTTTTCGACCATTTTTTTTTTTTTTTACACACGTCCTGCTTGTTCACGTTTGACGTTGCGTGTTGGTTTTGATTGTAATTCTCTGGAGAGTAGTTTCAGAGTTTTTAACCCTTTCGCGATATTTTTGAGTCTTTTGTTTTCTCACATTTTTAACTCTTGTGTTAATAAGGACACAATTGTCTACTTTATCGTGCAATTTTAGTAGCTTTCTGATAAGAAAATTGTAAATTTGAAGGAAACACGGATGAGAAATGTGCCAAATAACGATCTCGCCGGATATTCAAATCTTTTAGATTTTATTTAAAGATGAAATATTCTAAGCGAGAATGTGCAAAAGAGTGCTCGGTTATTGACATAAGGGTGAAATACGAGTAATTTTAACCCTTTCGTTACTCTCGACGTCTACAGAAGCTTCGAAAATTTTATCTCGGCGCTGTTAGCGTCTTTCAGCGCACTTCCGCCTCGATTTAATAAAGGAAATTTTTATACTACACCGGCGAAATAAATGAATTTGCGGTCGCGGTAGAGTATCTGTCGTCCACCGAACGCTTCTACACGCTGAAATCTGCAGCGAAAGGGTCAAACGTATCGAGTGCAGTGGAGGCTAGAGGATGAATAAAGTTGGCACGAACAACGCGAAAGGGTTAAACAGAGGAGGTTTTAATAGGTTAGAAGTAAGCTTTCGAATGAACGGTCACAGCTTGAGAGTAATTGGCCAGTGGTTTCCGGCGAAGCTGTTTCGTTCTTCGCCGATGGCAGAGAGCAGGCCTCCGCTCGTACAAAGAGAGGGCTGTGTTATTCGCGTTCCTGCACAGTGTTGAGTAATTCTTGCAAACGAGCCATTCCGGCTCCGCTTTTCCTGCCTCTGCTACTCTGCAAGACTAATTACACCGCTACGCGTGCTCCCACGCATATTTCGTGCCGGTAATAATTAATCTCGTTAATTCCCGACAACAACGTCGAAGCCAGGTGAACCGGCCTCTCTCGGTTCCTTTTCATCGACAACAATAATAATTGCTTCCATCGCTTCTATTCGACTCCTCCGTTTTTCGCCCGTCTATTCGTTCGTGCGGAAACGAGTAAAAAGTTTGCAGGGTTGACACGATCGTTGAGAGAAATTGGAGATTCGTTCGACACTTGTAGCGTGTTAAGAACATTTTACACGCTGTTTTTGTTACATATTTTTAGTCCAAGTTTTGTTGTTTGGTTAAAGAGAGAAATTTAGAGGAACTGACACTTTGGAAGGAAAATTGATCTAGATTTTAGCGTCCATTAGAGACAAGATGATTAGTATAGTAGATAAGTAAGGAGTTCTTGAAAAAAGTAATTCGGTGACGAAAGGGTTAATCCTTCGAGAGTTCAGAGCGTCAAATATCCAAGTGTTTAACTCAAGAGAGGCTCTTAGGAAGAAAGTTAGAAAGGGACGAGATATTATTGTCATAACTATGACGTAGGGTTATGTGTCTCATGTTGCAAAATCTAAATTTTTTTTACCGTAATTCGTAATTTTAATTTAACGAGTTATTCTTCTCGTGGTAAAAATATAAGGAGAAAAGGTACTGGTTAGGAAAGGTGTTCGTGTAGTGGCATGTCTAATTAATTGAAACAACAATAGCGTAATTGTCCCGTTGACACCGCTCAGCGACGCGTAACCACTTTCGTTCTCCGTTATTTCTCTTCATTGACACCGGGAAGAATACGACACGCGAGCGTGCACGCGCGCGTTATTCCACGACCAGCCCCCAAGTGAGAGTGTGGACGAATGTAGTTCACGGCTACGAACGGAGTTACGGCTAGCCGGTAACGCGAGCCGAAACTCGACGAGCCGGCAATTAAACGGCGGACACGCCGCGTAAATCAGCTTTCTGATAAGTATCGAAGAAACGCGCCTGATCGCTGGCAATCGTCTTATCAATTTGAAGGAACACACACATGTATGTTGAGCTATAGAAGATTTTTACAAAGGTCTCTGGAAAAAATTGGTAAAGCTATTTTGCAAATGACTAACTTGTAAATTGGTGTTCGGTATTTAGTTAAAATAGCGATCAGATTGTATGAAAGGTTACTTCTTTATGGAGGATTATAAATTCAAAAAATATTGGAACAAAAGATCGTAGTGTCGAATAGGGAATATTTCTTACTGTCTTAAGCCTGTTTCACGCCAACGCAAATAATGTTGCTGTACGGAGGATTAAAAATTCAAAAATTGAGATAAAAACATCGAAGTAAATGATCATTGTGTCGATTAGGAAACATTTCCTACGTTCTTAAGCCCGTTTCACGCCAACACAAATAATGTTGCTGTACAGAGAAATAAAAATTCAAAAATTAACATAAAAACATGAAAGTGAATGATCATTGTATCGATTAGGAAACATTTCCTACGTCCTTAAGCCCGTTTCACGCCAACACAAATAATGTTACTGTACAGAGAAATAAAAATTCAAAAATTATCATAAAAACATGGAAGTGAATGATCACGATATCGACTAGGACACATTTCCTACGTCCTTAAGCCCGTTTCACGCCAACACAAATAATGTTGCGGTACAGAGAAATAAAAATTCAAAAATTAACATAAAAACATGAAAGTGAATGATCACGATATCGATTAGGAAACATTTCCTGCGTCCTTAAGCCCGTTTCACGCCAACGTAAATAACGTTGGATTAAACATTGAAAACCTGAGATAAAAACATCGAAGTAAACAACCACGGTATCGAACAGGGTATATTTCTCGTTCCCTTAAGCCTGTTTCACGCCAACGTGAACATCAGATAAAACTTCTTTATCCAGGTTTTCACTTTTAAAGATCGTCAGCGATAACGTGGAACAAGATGAACGACGTGTTTGTAAACTTGGATACAGTACGGTTCGTACGAAATTAATTAAAAGTGTTGTTTGTCGGAGGAACGAAAGAGAACGGGTTGAACGTACCTCGACGACACGAATGGAAATGAACGCGATAATTCACGGGCCCCACGTGAACAGATGAACGCGTACCGGAAGCAATCCGCTCGTTTATCAAGGCGTCGCTACGAAACCGAGTTATCAGAGAGCCGGTTCAACGACCACCGCCCATGTAATATAACCTATTCCGCTAGGAATGAGCTTAACCGAGATCGAGGTTATAACACAACCCACAATTCTTCCCCGTTCGGTGCTTTCCATTTTGTGCTCCTAGGATTTTAAGGTTAGAGCTCTCCAACGTTCACACTTCACGAATATAAATCTTTTTCACGCTGAGCTCTGAAGATCAGACCTTCCTGATACGAAATGTTCGAGGTTAGAAGCTTTCGACGTCAAATTTCCAAGGATTACAGTTCTAGTATTAAGATCTCCGATACTAAATTTTGGAAAAATTTTAAATCGAACTGTCAAGATGGCAGCTTCTCTAGAAATCAAATTTCCACATATTCTCGACGTCGCGATTCATCCGAAGAATTCCTCATTGATCTCTGCAACGCTCCAGTTCCAATCTCTTCGATCACTCGTCACCTCCCACCTCCCACACAAAGGCCACAAATCACTCTCACGTGAATCACGTCGAAAGAACGAGAAAGAAGCGCACTTTAACGAAAGGTATCGAGGTCGGTCTTCGCCCAAGAGGAGGCATCGTCCAATCCCGCGAGTCTGCCTGCTGCTGGATCGAACTTCGTGCCTTTCGTTCTGCTACCTGAACACCGTCTGCTCCCCTCGTGTTTCACCTGGCCACCGCCATACGCGGCCAACCGTCTCCCCGTGTCCGGTGGAAACGGCCAATCGCGGAAATCCAGCGTATCCCCACGATTTCCTCCCGCTGTCCACGCTTTGAAGAGCACCGAGTTTCCTGAACCTGGCTCCTCAAGCGTCCACAGACATCTCGCGATTCCTCAACATCCTTCGCTGTCGTCTCCATGAGGATGATCTTCCACCAGGTAGGACCCCACGATCGATCCTTCCGTTTAACCTCTTCAAACCTCCCTTTCTCTATGATCCTCGTCGAACATCTTCGAGGCGATTCTTGACCTAGGTCCAAGTTTCGCTCCAAGTGAAACGACAAGTGGTTACGTTCCAAGAATTCTCAAGCACTGTGAAAATTACAAAGGGCGGAATCTCCGTCTTGGTACTCTAATTATTCAATACTAGGTAAGCAGAAAGTTCTCCTACAATTTCCACGTATTTCACCCTTGGAAAGTCTTTCAATTACATCCTCCGCTGATTAATCCTCCATTTTTACCAGTTCTTTGCATAGTGTCCCGGTATTTTTTCGATCTTTATCGAATCGTCAGGCCCAGGACGCTCGAGGAGCACGTTCCCCTTCCTTCACTTCTCCCTTATACTCCCTCCTTCCCTCTTTACTGCTCCCTGCGCTTCTTCCGTCGGCTTTCGTCGACCTCGTTGCCAAGGTAGACGCGCGCCGTCGTCTTGAGTGGTTAGCCAGTTCTCGTGCCAGCAGGATCGTTCCACTCTTCCGTGATTTTGCAATGAAAAATATCAACGCGAGTGCGTAACGTCCCTCCTCCGTACGCGATTCGACGAAACGCTCGTTGACGAATATTTTTTCTTTTAAACGGATTGAGCAATTGTCGAGCGGGAAGTGCGAGAAAGTGAGCGAGATTAGGATCGGTTCGAAGGAGGATCGCGTGAAGGAAGCAGCGATTTTCCACGGTACGTGTGAACCGGCATTTCCTCTTCCAGATTAGTTGGAATCTTCAGTGACCATGTTGCAATCAGAGAGAAGTTCTTCGAAGTTCGTACGTTTCGTGTTTAGACTGTAGTGAGTTTCCTCGAGGATCTTCAGTTATCAGTGGGGAAAATATATATCACCTGAACGATGCTTTTTATCGAATCGAAAAATGTGAGATATTTTTCATGGAAACGGTTCGTGATACTTTCTTCCTGACCGTGTAACGTAAAACATACTTGGAACGATCGGTCACTGTCGGAAAAAATCGTCGTTATCGTAGGTAGAGAGTGCCGAGATCGTAATGAATCGTGAAAGCAGAAATTCCACATGAAAGGACACTTTTCCTTTAATTAAACATCTCGTAACGTGAAACAGGCGGGGAAAAAAGGAATCTGCAGTAACGAGGAAGCTAACCAACTAATCCAACGTAAAAAGCGATTGGATCGGATCAAAAATTGTGAAAGTGAATCGGAAGCGTCCCGTCCGAATTAGAAAGTCTCTCCTGCAATTCTCTGTTACGAAAGTTCCCGGTTTGCTCCTGTTCACCGTGACCATCTCTTATTCCTCGTCGAATTACCGACTCAGCCACGCGACGATCCTCTTCGATCGTCCCGAGGAAACGGAGAGGATATTAATTAGGCGGTGTACACGGTCCGGGAAACGTGGCTGCGTGACTCTCTCGAAAGGCAGCGTGCACACGCACACACACACGCGCGTGTGTTTCGGCGTGTAATCGTCGTTCGAATCGGGTTCTCTCGAGTTACGTGACCGTAATTACGCGCGTGTCGGCGAACAGCGACGCTCGTAACGAGGCGTTGCGTCGATCAGCGTCCCTCTAATAAGAGGATCGCGATAAAGAGTCGCGGTTCAGACCTGGAGAACGCGCCGTGAGTCTTGTAACCAATTTCATGCCGGGATCTCTTCATTAAGCGGCAGGAATTCTCGCTACTTTCGCTGCTCGAGTAATTAACGCGATCGCTGCGGCTGATTTTTTTTTCTTTCTTTTTCTTCCTTGGGAAGTGATGGATATTCGGCGGAATTTTTTTCTTGTGAAGAAGAAATGAGGAATAGCGGTGGAGATTTTTTATCTTTGAAGATATCTGCGGGTTGTATTTTTGATTGGGAGTGGTCGAGATTTCGGAGAATTTTTTGAGAGTAATAAATGAAGAACAGTGTTTCGAATTTTTTATCTTTGCACTCCTTTGTGGGCGATTTTGTTTTCTTTGGGAAGTGGAAGATACTTGGAAGAATTTTTTTTCGAAGAAGAAAATAAAGAATAGCCTTGGAAATTTTAAATCTCTGAGGCCCTTTACGGGTGATATT